ATATCAATGCATCGCATTGTCAGCCTTCTCGTCTTCCTGAACAGCATTGTCAAGACTGCTTTCTCCTAGTTTCCTGGTTTTGGGGGCTGGCAGGGACCTCTAGGTGTGACCTCTATACTGTCCTCAAGGTGAGCATATACTCTTGGTGGCCCAGGGAGGTCCTGGTTTACACCTATCAGTCTGCCATGGTTATTAGTGGTGCAGACTCCATGCATCCTCAAAAGTGTCTTGGTTTGGACATTAAATTATATGTTACCCAGACTGTCCTATTAATCCTTAAGCTCCTCTTAATCACCTGTAGGGCCCTCTTCTTCTTCTCCATCCTCACAAACCCTTTTCTAACCCAGTACCATTTTATTTCTTGCATGATCACTTCCCAGTGACTCACCATGGAACCCTTTCCTTGCAACTGGTCAAGCCGTCGCCATTGCCATCAAAATGAACATCCCACTACTTTACATGACAAGCTGGGTCCCCCATGACTTGTTCTCTGCCCGTTTTCAGACCCCTATCTCTAGCTCCTCTGTCTCTGGGTCCCCACTTAGTGAATACATACCTCCATTGGAGATAAATTCAAAATACTAACCTAACACAAAGGAATGAGCTGCGGTAACCAGTCTGCTTCCTTGGACCCGGCTGGTCTGACAGTGTGTGAAGTCCTCAACATTCTTCAGTGACCTTGAATGAATAAGTCGCCCAATAGCCACGTTTAACTAACTCAACCTGAAACATTACTGCGGTTTTACAGAAACTATACCGTGGCTCATTGTTCACCACAATGCGGCTGGACTACGTTCATCATAGACTGTTTTGAAGATGATTTGTCCTATAGATATGATGGTAGTTGTTGTAAATATTGCAAGGAAATATCAGTTATTTCTAGTTTCCCTAAGGTCCTAAGCAAAATAGGGTTAATAAGATAAAAGATACACCTGTTTACATGCATCCACAAGTCATCGCTCTTATTCCAGAATATACGCCAATTACTGATACTGAGATATGTCTTTCAGGCAATACATTTAAACTTCCATTCTGACTGATGGCCTGTCCTAAGATTTATCAAAAATATCTTTATTGGAATGGTTATAAGGAGACTAATTATGTTAAAACCAGAACTGATCTTGGCTTCACGTCAAGAAATTCCAAGCTCAAAAGTCAAGGTCTGTTGAGGAAATTAAAATTCAATTGACTTTATTTGATGGGTATTGTCATTCAGGTTTACTCTGTCAACTTGAAGCCACGTTTTAAGTGAAGAGTGACTTTTGAAAGATAAAAAGCAAGTTTACGTTAATTACTTAAATTTAGTAAAAATTTGTATATTACTTTCATAAAAGGTGTTTGCGGGTGTGAGTGTGTGTGTGTGTGTGAGAGAGAGAGAGACATTCAGAAATAATGAAAATCTGGTTTTCAAATACAAGGTACCTTAGGTAACATTTTATTTCAAATACATTGTCTTTCAAATACAAAAAATAAAAAAAAATTGTATTTCAAATGCAACATTGTAGGTAACATTGTAGACTGCAAAATTTACAAGCCAAAGTAGTTTCATAAAGTCCATTGTGGTTCTTTGAAAGTTTACTTATTTAATTATTATAAGGATATTAATATCTGAAACCTTCACTAATCACTCGTGTTTGAAGCACCGATTTTGCTAGGAGACTGTGTAGGCCTCTAACAGGAATCTGAAACTTAGCAAGGAATAGAAAAAGTAGTGAGTTAATAATTATTGTACTTGGAAAAAAACAAAAGCTGACGGTTGAGTTAACGGTGCATGTTTAAGTGGAGAAAAAAGTACATTGTGAACACAGACTACAGTGAGATAGAATCTCCAGTTTCTGTCTATGATTTGGACCCCAAATACACAGATCCTCATAAAATTTCAAATTAAACACTTGGTCTAGGTCTTGAGGAAATTGGCAGGAGGTTGCTCATTTTTGCAACAATCATCTTGAGGGCACATATTTCCCCATCATCATACTGTGAGATAAATTTACTTTCTTGGCTGAGGAGGATCAGAATGCATTGATAATGAGACAGGAGATAAAAGTTATGAACCCAAGGCAGGTAAACACGCCCCGAACTGCAGAAGCAAATTTTGTACCGAGTTTATGAACTCCTCTCGAATGTGATTTCAGGGACACTGAGACTCTCTCTTGTAAACTCCTCTCCTCTTCTCGATGCCTGAGCATCCCCTCCTTTAACATGTGGGCTCCGCAGGACAGACATGCTGCTTGATCTTTTATCAGCCCCAGAAAATTGTGTGTCAATAAAGAAATGGGGGAAAATACGGCAAAGGGAGGGAATGGGCTGGAGAGAGTAAAATGTCACACAACTACTGAAACAGGAAAGAGCTGTGAGCTAAAAAAGGACACACCTTGGTGACTGGAATGGAATGCCAACTTTGCCAACTTCAGAATTGTGATGTGTTGATAAACTAGTTGAGGGCTAATGCCCGTGACCAGAGGCTTTGTTTAAAATACATAAATCTTGTACTTCAAATTCTAACAGATTGCTAAGCATAATAAACTGGGGGAACTACCATTTTGCCCTACATTTGACCTTAGAAATAGCAAACCTTCCTTGGCTTATTGCTGTCTGGACAGATGACATTGTGACCGTGACTGTAGGAGGCAGGTACCATCTATTTCCTGAACCACTTCCTCCCTCCACTCAAACCAACTATGCACCCAAGGACTTTGAAACAAGCCACAGTTTAGCTTTCATGGATAGACAGTTCCATTTCTAGTGAAAGGGGGACGTGGAAGCCCAAAAGGTTGACATCCTTCCAAATGTAAGACTCTGGAATTTTCCAAGAATCTGTCCCATCAACAGGACATTGACTTAGGGACTCTGGCCCTGCTCTACCTCCAGTTAACAACCGTAGAGGATTAACTCCAAGCCTGCCTAGATAATTCTCTACCTTGAGGTACAGTCCAAAATTAAAATCCCTTGAGTTAAACAACATAAGCTGTGGACCACACAGCCATAGATAGAGTGTCTATTGAATGTTCATAATAAAATTGCCTGAAATTATCTCTATATGACATTGTCCATAACAAGCCCTTTTGTTTTGTGGGTTTATAAAAAGCTTTTGAGGGATTGGACACATATTTTAAAGCTAGCAAACTGCCGATCTGTTAGCGCAGAAATTATCTGCAGCAGAGCCAGACGTGCAATCATCAAGAGTAATACTGCAGGAAGCAATTTAAGTCAACAGAAAGAAAACCAGCCCATGTTACATTTTCAGATTACAGATGGCGACAGAAAGCACCAAGAAACCATGGTCTTGGGCCAATCACCAACTCTAGAGTGAGAACAAGGAGACTTTCTCTCCCCAGATCTAAGCCATGTCCTTTTAGCCACATATCCTATGCCCTGTGCAGGCAGCTCTATTGGTTAATTTCCTGGCAATTCCTTCACTGATGATCTGTTGAAATGTAACTTAAATCCCTCTTGAAAATGCAAATACTCTTTGCCCTCAATCCCCTCCCCTGAACTTCCATAGCAGATTTGCCTCTAACCTTCTGGATACCACGTTTCTCAGTTTCTCTGCCCAGAAGAATGGAGTCGGAGGCTGCCTTGGTATATTTGCAAACTGAGTAATGGCAGGTAAATTTTATTACTCTTGCACAAAAGGCCGCAAAAGAATGCAAGGGATAGAATCCTGCCTCTTGGAGCACTTGCTCCACAAATTTAGTGTAATTTTCTTTTAGGTATTTACTAACATCACACATTCCAGCGATCAATTGATGGTAACTCTGCCACGACGTTCCATAGGTAGTTTTGTACTGTTATCGTTCAAAAGGTGCGAACAGGACCGGATTTAAGGTACGGCTAGGCAATCGATCTAAATTCAGACCCACTTTCCAAATTATCTCAGACCCAGGAGTTCCTTCTATTCTTAGATATTTTTCACCGTGGTTCTGAAATTGCTCTTGTGAATACAAGACCTGGACCTGTTATCGGCTTGTAATTAACATCTGTAACATCCTCTACAGAATCCCCAGAGTTGGCTTCTATGCATATGTCCTGGGCCAGAATTTTACTCCATGTCAGGCTCAGATCAGTAAGGTCAGCTTCACTGGTCCAGCCTCCCTTAGAGGTGAGGATTGCCATTTCCTCTAAGCCAGGGAGAAGGGGGAGGCGGGTGCGAGGTGGGCATGCCCTGGTACCTGTCACAGACACTTGGATGTCCAATGAGATATGCTTTGGTTTGGTTTTGACACTACAAGGATGTCATGCAGACCTTCAAATTATCAGGTAGAGTGCAGAATTTATAACCCTGTGAAGCCATTAAATGTCTGCCCTAACTCTACATTCCCTCCCGCCCATACCCCAACTTAAGAGGGAGCTAAGGTCAGGATTTTTCTCAAAAGAAAGACTTTGCGTGAGGCCAAGGTAAGTAAGACTTCTGATTCTGCAGAAAATGGGAACTTCAAAGTCATTTCACCTATCCACAGCATCTATCAATTCAATCATATTTCAGGTCCAAATAAATTCAGTCATGTAAGGGAACAGTCGCAGATACAGTCAGTAAGTTATCACCCAGCTAGTTAGCAGTTCTCGGGTCCTCTGCTCTTCCTGCGAGCCTTTGCAGGAGACCAGCTGTCTGTTTCTTTGCTGTAAACTAGTCAGTTTAAAAGCAGTCCTAGGAGTGGGACCTGTTCAAGAAAGAATGGATTTTATGCCCTGCTTATTGCCTTCCAAATGCCAGGAGCTTTTCAGAGTAATAGCAACTAGTGTAAAAAGAGAATTTGAAATAAAAGAAGCTTTTACTGCCCCAGAAAGAGGCTGCCCATAAACTTTCCACCTGCCTTAACCACTGGGGAATGTGTGTGTGTGTGTGTGTGTGTGTGTGTGTACATAGACCAACGATTTCTGGCCAATGAGAATTTACCTTTCCTATTAGCCTCATATCCCCCGGAAAAACATACATGATAAAAACAGAGCAGGAAAGCAGGATCAAACCTCTTTAATTGTAGTTGTCAAATGTATTCCAGCTGAACGCTTCACGCACTCTGTCATCAAGAGGACATTTTACCGCCGGTACTGACGCCTTCCCTGGTGCAAAACCTTTCATCTCAGAATATCAAAGATTTTTGCAAGCACTAATTCATTAATTAAGCCTCTTGATGACTGTTCAGAGAAAGAGAGAAGAAAAATGTATTTCAAAAAGAAAGAGACTTAAAATTCGGGTGGTATGGGTGGCAGCTTCCTTGAACATAGAATGGCATTTCACACGTGTCATTGTGACCCCCCCACAAATCCGTCACTGAATCCAGAACAGACCTTTCTATGAGGATGCAAGTGTTTTTCAGGTAAATGTTGCAGAGATGTGTCTTTCATTTGTCATGAACCTTCTTCGTGGCACTCGGTCCCATCATTTTTCTCTAATTCTGTTGTTCCTTTGTTCTGCTTTGCTAATAGAATGTGAAACCTGGTGAATTTGCTGAGATTTATCGGTTCACTTCGGAGTTGCTGTGGAAGACTGTGGTGCTAAAACCCTACCCCTGGGGAGAGGGAAGCCTGCCTTGGATTTAAGCCAGGTTTTCAAGAAACTGCCTTCAAAGGCAAAGCCAAGAAAAATGGTTGACTCTTTTGGTCTCAATTAGTTGAAATGCTGAAACGCAAAATCAGTCAACATAAAACATTATTGCCCCAGGTCCAAGTAAAAATAAAAGAGACTGGAAAATATTTCCACTCTTTCCACCACCCAACACATGTACTGTAAGTAAAGTTACAGCCAATCCAGGACCAGGATGTTGCTGCTTGGAAACAAAGGATTAGGAAGTGATGTAGGAAAATGCTAGGAATGTGTGCCCAGAATCACATGGTCATTTTCCTACCCAGAATCACATATACAAGACTCATCATTATACTTTCTGCATCCATCCAAATGCATCTGTGGGTTACCAGAATTATCACTGGTAATGTCGAGAAGAATATAATTAATTGGCCATGAACACCCCAGTTTGTAAACCCACACTTTGAACGACTATGACTAAGCCAGTACAGGCACCGTGCTGGGATCACATTTGATTCTTTCAAGGTTTTTAGAAATTAATACGTATGTCTACAAAACACACACTAGGGTTTAATTATTTCTATTAATCAATTCATTTTTAAACTTTCTCCCCTTCTCTGTCTTTCAACTCTTGACCACGTAGCTGAGCGGTGAAATGTGGAGTAATACAACAAGAATGAAAATTTTGACTTCACCCCGTAAGACCTGTGTAATGTTGGGGGAATTCACTTAACTTCTCTAAGATTCACTTTCCTAACCTACAAAATGGAAGCAATTCCAGTAATGACTTTGTGAAGAAATGTTATACACGTGGCCACCCAGAGACTCTCATTTGTGTCTACCACGTGCTTCTTGGAGCAGATCACACCCCAGATTAGGTAAAGACTTGGAGCCCTCATTAAAGAGAGGATGATGCCTAGAGCCCACCAAGAAATACATTATGCAAAGCACATTCCTACATCGAAACACGTTAAAAGGAATAAATGTACCAAGGGACAAAATCTAAACAAGGCTCAGCAAACAATGTTGCATTTTTGAAAATGAGCAGAGTAGACAATCCAGAAACAACGCGTAGAGCCACTCTGTCTCCCTGTGTGATGCCTTTGCAGTCAAACTCTGAAGCTGAAGACTTAATTATCCCAAAAGGAAGGGAGGTCTCAGAAATCTACGCCGATAACCCTTCAAGGTGAATACCCAAGTTTAGTGTTCTCCTAACCACAGTGGTAGACAATTCTCTGTAATTTTTTGTTACCACTTATCAAGCATATATTGAGTGAGTTTTGTGTGTTTGATTCTGTAGTAGAGCGTGTTTAGAAAAGTCCAAAATATACGATCCCTTCCTTCAAACACTTTATGTTCTAGTTGGGTTGCTAGAGTATGTATTTGTGAAAAGCACCATTATAATATAGAACTTTGTGTGATTAATCTCAAAAGAATTTGACTGTTTGTCCTATGAAAGTTCGGAGGGCAGTGAGAACACTGTGGGCTCGCCTGATCAAAA